CTTTTACAAAAAGAGGCAACCAAGAACATTGGTATGTTGGTTTTCCCTTTCATTCACTACCTAGCACTGCTTGGCTTGGGATGGACCACCTGCAAGGCGCTACTCAAGAGATGATTGATATAGGGAATTATGGTTCAAGAGCTTTCGGAGGCAAAATGCTTACCTTTCATGTTGGAAGAATTCATACCTGTCTCCAAAGACAAGATCACAATATAGTCCTATATATCTGTGCTATATAGGCTACTTGTGCAAATAGTAAGTTTTCTGAAGTCTGATGCTATGTGTATTCATCCAGGACATGAGCTGTGCCAAACACTCTGCTAGTTAGCACTAAATGAGAATCTTCAAGGTTGCATGTTTTCTTGAGAATTGTTTCCAATGCTCTTTTAATGTAGGTTTGTGTTTATATAGCATTTGGAAATCCTGTATCTGGGAAGCCCAGAATGCTGTAAAACATTTGGACTAATTGTTCTTGAAATCAAAATACTTTCCTGAAGGGCATACTTTGCTTGGGTGGAAAGTAACAGCTCATTTTCTTATGCAAAACAACTCTTTAGCATACTGAAGACACACAGAATTATTTATATGTAAAAAAAAAATATTTTTGTGAGTTGACCATGCTGTGCAGTGCTACTGGAAGGTAGGAATTTACATAGCACTGGGATTAAAATGTATTTGCATCCCGTATGAAAGGTGTTTTCATGTCACTAGGATGCCAGCAGTGCTCAGATCATCTTGGCTTCTCCCAAGATAAGAAATACATTCAAGTCTCCATTTGCTTGAATTGCTTGGACCAGCAGAACATTAACTTTTTTTTCTGCTGAGGTTACACTATACAAAACAACACTACCCAAGCAAACTCAGGTATGGGATGGATATAATAGAGGCCAAATGCTGAAGGGCAATAACATATCAAACCTGATCCAGGGAAACACCAGCACACCAAAACAGCTATTGGAGAGTGTGACGTTTTCTCACATCGCACTCAGGTGAGTATGAGGCAATCCTCTTAGGAACATATATAAGTGAAAGTGATTTCTTAGGTTAATACACCGGTAGCTTGAACATGAAGAGTTGTTTTATACTGTCTATTGAGATTAGTATCTAGCTGAGAAGTGGGTCAGAGGAACAAAAGTAATATGCCTTATTCCCCTAAACAGCCAGTAGTTTTTCATAAAGGAAGATAACTCAGTGAAACTAATGCCTAAAGATAGCTAAAGGATAAAAGATGAGTATCAGTAGAAAGTGAAGCAGTAAGCCTAAAAGTTCAGGAGATTTAAATATTTAATAAATCTGTAGTCTTCAGCAAGTATGTATTGGCAAAGGAGGAAGTGTTCAATCAACAGATCAACATTCCCCTTCCTACAGTTCTAGTTCCCCTATGGCTTATCAAAGACAGGGGACTTACAACAAAAATCCATAGCACAGTCGGCAGAGTTACAGAAATGTTAAGGCAGAGGCCTCACAGGTACAGTTTTTAAAATACACTGAAATTATCTGAGCTGATAAAGGCCTGAGCTACTCCGCAAGTCCACTCTGGATTATTAGTGAACTGAAGCTGCAGGCATCAGCAGTGTCAGCTGGATACAGATTTCCAAAAAGTTTAGATATCATTTTATGTGCAATTTCCAGCCCATCTCTAGTACATATTAATATTTCTTTTTGTTTGCTTGATACCGTTTATTATGAATAGCTAATATATTTGCACAAGCAGATGATGCATTTGTTTTAATACTAAGATCACTTTTTCTCCTTGTGAGTTTTCAGTAAAATATTAGAGATTCTTTCCAGAAATTAAGTTCCAAGCACAGGAAGTATTAGACAATACTACCAGCTAGTTTTTGTGGGAAGATATGACTGTGCTTAACTTTGGTTAGTGTACTACTTATTATCACAGTACAAATATCACAACCACCCCATTACCTGCTGTGTACCTGAAATACAGTCAGCTTACATAGACTAAGCAGTCACTGAACAGCGTGTTACACTGGTGAAGATCCCTCATAGCTTCTTGGTGTTTTTGTGAATTGTGATCAGTATCCCATAAAACACAAGCAGCAATTGGATAGCATCCATTTAATTACTCTGTGTGCTAGTCAGAATACTCGTGGTTTTTAACATCCTTCTGTGGTTTCCAAGACTGACTTAAAAATATCTATCAGAACTGAAACTCTTCAAGAGACAGTCTTGTCTGTATCATTCAGACGTCAGGCAATTAGATAGAAAGTTAAAAAAATGCATCAGTTGCACTGTTTGGAACATTTTTAAAAAATAAAAAACATGTATCTTAGATGATTATAAAAAAAGGCACAGATCCTGCAACCCTTCCTCTCAAAGAGTCTCACAGGAGTTAATGGGACTAATATATAACAAGAATTGTATTACCTCTTCAAAAACATAAAACTAGTCAATTTATAATCATGGTTCTAAGGTGTGCAAATAGTACAATCAGTGGGTTTAGATACAGGGTAAATATCGAGAAATAAATGGAACCATCCAAGAATGATGGGTTGCTTAATTTGATGTCATCTCCATCCTCGTAATTGCACTGACTTGAATGGCGTTACACTAAGAAAGCTGGAGGATATTTGCATCAGGCCTGTATCTAGAATTTTGTTACTTGACTAAAAATTCAGCACATATTTTGGACTGCTCCTTGGCCGCTTCTCAGTGAGAGCTTAGGGTACGTAAAAGTAAAGTCCCTTCCTAAAAATACCAAGACACAGTAACGCATGTAAATGCATGTACAGCTTTGAAGAACCTCCTGTTTTCTACCTAAGAAGGTTAGACCAGCAATCACAAACCAGAACACTAGAAAAAAAAGTGCTATTTCAACAGTAATTGACAAAGAAACCATCTCACTGTTAGAAAATTCAAGTTGTAGCTACTTACAGTCTGCCAGGCCAGAAACTTTAGAAATAAATATTGTTTGGATTTTGTACTATGTTTATCCTCTTTTACCAAAGCTCAAACTTGGGATGGAATCAGTCAGAAAGGATTTAATGTGAATGCAGATGCTGAAGGCTTTCTCTCCACCCGTAAGATGATGAAGTTAGTCTTACTAGCAACAATGCATGGAAGGCTTTTGGTCCTATCTGGCACAATGTTAGTCTGCTGTATGCATTCTGTGGAAATAAGAGAAAATAACTGATTAAGGGAAATAAGCACTGCAAACAATCAGGATGATAATTCATATTTCTCTCTTTCGCTAAGGCTTTCAGAAGCAAGTGGTTGCAAATGTAAGAAATTGCAGAAAGGATTAATATTTTGCTGCCAGGAATCTGATTCAGTATTATGTAGGATTGAAAGGGATATCTTGGTTCATCATTTCTAGTTTCTTATTATGAAAGGGAACAATTTAAAATAATCTTGTTCATAAATATATGAAGCTCTGTCTTTGAAGTACAGAGGAGTAGAAAGGACAAGAGTTCTATTGGGAGGCTGTTAAAAACAACATTTTTTCCAAACCCTCCTTTGGATTTCCAACCTAAATTTATTCACTGGCTGTTTATACGCGTTGGTTCTTTTGCCAATATGATCCTTAACATTAAAATAGTTCCTTTTTTCTCTCTGGTTACCCCTCCGTATTCAGAGAGCAATCATAGCTCCTCTTTGCTTTCATTTCACAGAAAAACTGAAGTCTTTTATTTTTCTCCTGCAAGACAGTTTCATTCTCCCAACCATCCCAGTAACCCACCTCTATATCTGTTCCCATCTGATTCCAACTTTGTGGAGCCCTTGTGACCAGATTCACTATTTTTTGTTCCACGTGAAGTTCATCAAATAGTTTGACCTGAAACTTCTTTTACAGATCCACAAAAGGTGAGGATGAGGAACAACCTCCTAACATTGATAAGGTCAAAATGTGGCATGTGGTGCTTGGGTTTTTCTTTATCATCTTAGAAGATAGACATAGCTAAATAAGAAAGGCTGTGGCCTCAGTCAGACAGAATGCAGCTTTTTGTATGACTGTACTATATAGGAAAATCAAATGGGACCTAAACTCTTGAGACTGCTCTACTTGGTGCAAAATATTTCAACTGAGAAGACAAAAATCCCTTATTCTGCGGGTTGGGACAGCTGTATCCCAGTTCCTAACCCACTGGGAAGTTGCTTATGTCAAGTGGAGACGTTGAGAACCAGGAAACTGGGTAGGGTGAGCAAAGGATTAGGCAGCAGGACAGGATTTGGAGAGAGGCAAGAAGCCAGTCAGTAAGCCTGCTTGTTCAGGACAGCAAGCAACATACAGAGAAAGAGGAGAGCTGGGGAGGAAAGAATATTATTATCCAGAGCAAAAGACAAAATTATATGAAAATGTTTTCGGGGCAGAGTGATGCTCCTACAAGATGGCACAGAGGTGAAGTATCAGTAAGAGTAGAAAAAATAATCATTGCAGAGGAAGTATTAAATACTGCATGATCCCATTATTTGTAACAGCATCAATGTGCAAATGCTGGCCACCCCAATAGTCTTTGGTGCCATGTGATAAGCCTTGTATGAATAAACAAAAGAGACGACGACTCAGGGGCCTTAGACCTTCAAGATGCATAAGGTGATGGATAAGCTTTGCAGATACAATACAAGAGTAAATACTAACACTGAAGAATTTTCTAGTTATGTGAACTGAACCCATTTTCCTTTTTTCTTTTCCACAGTCAGCAAAACAAATGGTTGGTGAGAAAAATCACAAGATGATTTCGCTGTTAAGATGTTGCTCAGAACCTAAATATGCCTGAGAAACATTTGTATATAAATTGTGTTAATTAAAATTACGTTTGGTAGATTAAGTTAGAATGGCCACTGTTAAAAAACAAGCCATGTTTCTGAAAGAGGAATGATTTTAAAGGAAGTATTAAAAACCGTTTATCAATTTATATTGTACTGTTTAGTTATTCACATGCTAATTGTATTGTTCCTGCTGTCATATTACCTTCAGCTTGAAGATCATTCAGAAAAAGAAATTCTGCCCTACCTGTGACAGTCAGACAGTGGAACAAAAAATGCCGGTGAAGTGAGTTGCTGTTTATGGCTATTTTAATGGTAGGAGATTTATGGGATCGGATGGTCAACTTTTGACTAGTCTGGACAGCTTTTATTTTCCTTTCCCCTTTACAGTGGATATGATTATTTTGATTCCTTGTTGTCAATTCTGCTTGCCATTACCACTCAGGTAAATCCCATGAAGTCAGTAAGATCATTCTCTGAGTGATAACTATTTAATCAAATAATATCACCCACAAGGAAAAGCAGCAGAATTAGGTTCATGCTGTCTGTTATATCCTGGTCTTTCAGTTTTCTTTTTTGTTTGACAAGAAGGCTAGTAAATATTTACTGAACAACCTGAAAATTTGTTATATATTTGATACAAGTTAGTTACAGTTACTAAAACAAATCCTCTGCTTATTAATTCCATCAGCACATGATGTCTCACAAAGTACTACACGATGCTACATTTAGTTTTCATTTGTGTTTTCAATACAGACTGACTATATTTGCATATAAACTTATCTTTTGATAAGTTTACAGTTAGAGAACACCATTACTGGTGATGCTGACAAATGGCTGTTGAACACAGCCCTCAAACTAACCTGTATACTTCAGAGCAGGGTTTAGACAGTCGAGCTCCGAGAGTCCCCTTAGGAATATAAATTTATATTTGCACTCCCGTTTCCCTTATGTATGTGTGCATATATATGTATAAATATACATTGAAAAAAATTTTTTTAATATTATTTTGTGCAGTTTGGATACAAGTAAACTGACAGCTACAGACAAACCCTTGTTTGATAAAGGTGTCAATGCCACAATCTATTGTAATAATTATAACTACAGTTATGTAGTATGGTGACACTACCATATAATCTTTTGATAAGTTTACAGTTAGAGAACACCATTACTGGTGATGCTGACAAATGGCTGTTGAACACAGCCCTCAAACTAACCTGTATACTTCAGAGCAGGGTTTAGACAGTCGAGCTCCGAGAGTCCCCTTAGGAATATAAATTTTACAGAATTCTAAATTTTTTTTTTAAAGGTAATATTTTATATGGAACTAAGTGTTTGGTCCATTTACCAGACTGCACAGCCCTTTACCTTCTAAAACACCTATTTAAGTTAGTATATACAGTGGCAGAAAGTCAGTAGTCAGCATAAAGGTCTTTCCATAGGTGAGATTTCAGGAACCTGAAAAGTGAACTTCACATCAAAGGTTACTTTAAAATGATCTCCTGATGGATGGGCATCTGGTTAGCCTTGAGAATACATGCTCTTGTAACACTAGCTTAGAGGAAGAGCAGCACAGCACGTGCAGGCAAGTGCTGTGTTTTAGCGGAGCTTTTTCCACCCTGTTTTCCACTCACCCAGATTTCCCACCCCTCAGTACTGTGGACAGTGTCTGTGCCTTGTGATGCCTTGCTGAGTCAAGGATGACCTGCTCTACTTTTAGTTAGGATGAACTAATGTGCTCCCTAAGGCATGGGAATATAAGACCTAGGCACGAGGTAGAAAAGCGTTACATCCCATGAGCTTGCATGACTGAAACCAGGAAGACCAACTGAGAAGAGCCTTTCAGTACAGAATGACTAACCTCTGTGAAAATTAAGCTGTGAGTTTTTTCAAATGGAAACAGGGTCTAGTCAGAAAATAGATTTCTGTTTCCATAAAAAAATCATGGAATTTATTTTGATTTTGCATTGAAACAAAATATTTCCAGATTTTCTAATTTCCCCTCTCTTACCACCAAATGAGAAAGAAAGTGCACACAAATCATCCCAGAGCTGACAGGATGTCAGCTGACTACTATATTCACATAGAATGTAAATTCAGTTTCAAATCCCTCTGCCTACTGTAACCTATACAAGATACATAACCAGAGGATTAGAAAGTTGGTTTCTTCCCTCTGTCTGGTTAATACACCTCTACTATTTATATAAAACGTAGCAGTTTCAACAAAAGCAACACGAGATACTGATCAATTTAATTTTTACCTACTCCTCCAGGTATTGCAGGTATTCTAGAATTTATGTGTCTCCTTGTCTCCTTATTAAAAAAATCTGTATCCAAAATGGCAGGGGGAGGGGAGGATTAATTCCTTATTCTGCTCTGGCCTTGCACTTTGAACTACTTGTTTTATTTCAAAATCTTTCACAAGTGCAAAATGCTAGTAAAACATTCTTCATTCCCTTTAAATGTTTACATTTTTAAAAATTAATATGCATTTCAAAAAAGTTTCATTTACAAACCACTGCACTGAGGTTTATTGAAGAAGTACGCTCCTTACTCTAAAACAAAATATGAGCTAAGTGACCAGATTTATTACTGCTTATTGCCAAACAGTAGATATGAGACTAATGTTCATTTGGGGATGCCTGAGGCTGCAAACTGACAAGACTGCTGAGAAACTGAGAAAATAAAATAAAAAGACTGGCCTGCAGAAAAGCAGGTAGGCACATGCTGACATCTCCACATCTCTTGCTGACATTTCCACAGAATGTTTAATTTTCAAGAAATCATATCCTTCCAAGGTATCGTCACAAAAAGTGCAAGCAGTAACAATAATGCTGGTAAAGGGGGTTCTTTTTCTCTGCTGGATGTTTAAATTAAAAACTCATTAATGGTAATTTTAATCAAAACATAATTTTGCATGAATGAAAGACAGTTTTCTTTTCTCTACGTACTCATGGACTAAACTGAATATGAGACCATCCTTCCCAAGTTACAAGAAAAAAAATATTGCACACACTTAGCATGCGGTTCCCTTCTGCTCGTGCAGCTGTCCTCTCTCAGCCTGCACACTAAGCCTTCCTTCTGACCCAGCCTGAACACCTTCAGAGCACCCAGGCCTTGGAAGAGCAAGGGTCCATTTAGTTCCGTATCTCATTTCTAACAAAGCCTGCAGTCAGTTACAAAGGAAGAGACAGAACTATGAATTTACTCAATTTTTTTATACCACTAAGAAACTGAAATAATGCCTATTTATCCTGCCACTGTTAGCATGATAACAATTTAGATAATTCTATTTATTCCAAGCAAAAAGTGTCATATAAATTAATGGTTAATCCATTTGAACTTGAAAAGAAATTCAGTACACTCTAGAACATTAATATCTCTCCTATCCTTTTGTTATAGTTCAATGAGTTGCAGGCATTACTACAGTCTCCTGTAGGAATAATCAAGTTGCCAATGTCAAATAACACTGTACTTTATGAGTCTATATGGTTCTCTACACTAAAAAAAAACTCCCAAACCCACACTTGTTGACTTTCTGTTATTCAGTGCACAGGGTAACATGAATTACCCACCCTGCTCCCTCAAGAAGATAGCAAATAATAGAGTAGCTATCATAGACTGCGAAGACAAGAGATCACAATGCTATTTTCAAGGACAGATGTTGTTTCCACAGGTCAAACACTGGGGAAACAATGGCCTGGTCAGAATCCGTGGATACACTACTAACTAATAAAGGTAAGAAGTACCTAGAAAATATTTTTTTTTAAAAATGTGTGTCGACTCAGTTCATAAACATTGCTGTCAGGTTTTCATGCTGCTTTCCAGTCCAAGTCTCCACATACTTTGGACCACACCAGCGCTACTGCTGGAGGTGTTTGAGCTGCTGTGCTGAAAGGCAGAGGGGGCATGTTTCTTCAAGCTGCAAACACAATATGCCTTCTGGCTAATGCTTAAGGAAACATTTAAGAAGGCAGCAGTGCTCTGGAAGAGTTTTGTTTTATGAAGATAAACTCTCTGTGCAATGGTTCTGTTTTTCCTAAAAAAATCCACAAACCTTTTCCGAGGTATTCCTGTTACAAAGAAATATATGTGTTGTGCATTGACTATCAGTCAAACAGAAAAAAGATTATTATTTCTAAAACATCCAAAGTCACTTCTCTAAGAGATCTCATTCCCACTAACATTAAGCCACAAACCACGTGGAACTGTTAAAAATTTCCTCGCACCATTTTCCTTCTGTGACTCTGTGGTCTGGACCCTGCAGTGCCTCCACACTGTTTCTGCATGGTATTAATTTGACTAACACGACTAAATTTGAGCGCTGTCAGCTTTCTTTTCTAAGAGCTTGTGATAAGGATTACTTTTAAAACAATGTCTTTCAAACAAGCTTTTCTTTTTTTCATTTTTTCTTTTAAAAGTGCCAATAAATGTTGAACAAAGAAATAACAGTGTCCTTCTCTTCACCGAAGTCTTAATCATTACGCAAAGGAGCTGTAAGTGCTTTTTAGGCGGGCTAACCTCAGCTCTGAGAGAAGCACACTACCACAACATGACTTAATTTTCCGCTTGCTTCTTAGATCAGGGGTCAGCCTCAAATCCCTAATTTCCTAGTCACTATAATTCCTCTCAAAGACCCAAATCTCCAGAATCTGCTTTTGACTAGTGTGCCAGTGCTAGAGAGACCAAACCACGGCAGGCAGGTATTGGGAGCATTCCTCAATTATTAACTCTCTGAAAGTATTCCCTTAGCCATCTTAAAATTGCTATAGTTTCATCTCCTATTTATTTCTGCCAGAACAACCTCATGACTAACTACTGGCTGACAGGCAAACCAGCATCAGACACATAAATGTCACTATATAGTCTGCATATGTATATCTATGCATGTACATATACATACATAAAATCTGTATTAGTCTTTCAGTTTTCCTCCACCCATCATCTCATGCATTTTTCCCCAGATGGCTTGGCAGCTTTTAGGACATTTTTGAAGTCAGAGTTCAGTGAGGAGAATGTGGAGTTCTGGCTGGCCTGCGAGGATTTCAAGAAAACCAAATCCTCCACTAACATTGCCTCAAAAGCCCAAAAGATTTATTCTGACTTTATACAAGCTGATGCTCCAAAGGAGGTAAGCAGTTTTTTTACATGAACTTTGGGTACCCACTGAGGGTGGGAATCAAAGGGAAAATTAAGATCCAAGCTTCCCGACGCAATTCGATGTGGCCGTACTTCCATGTTCGTGTCAATTAGTTACCAGGTAGAAAACTGCATGGAACTCCGTGAAGGAAACAAAGACCTCTTATGGTTAAATACAGTACTTTAAATACATTCTTCAAACAGGGCATGGGTTTATCTTGCCTTCTGAAATTTCTAAGGAAATATATGTTCAATATAATTTGTTTACTCTAACCATTTTTATAATGTAATAAGCACCATTTCCTCCATATTTTAGGTACCGGTATATTGGAATGTTAATGATTGTATGTGTTCTTTTGTATAGGTATTTTTGATATGATGAATATCAAAATGCAAACTTAGAAAAATTTCCATCAGAGCATTCAATTTTATCATTATTTTAAAAATGCTTACTGTAAAGGAACAAATTGCTAATTAATTATTGTTCACATTCTGCTCCCTAACAAACTTTTACACTGATGGTTTTGCCTTTGACAGTGAGTGTGCACTAAATGTCCCCATGTCTTACATATGATGGAAATCCATGTTATTATTATTAAAAAAAAAAAATCCTTACAAAACAGATAGGGCCAAACCTAAAATGATGCTGAGTACCTTCATCTCTAATTTAGTCTTTGGTAATCGGTACTTCGTAGGATTTGGTTTGGCAAAAAGATGAGATAATCAGAAACAAATTTTTCCCTTCTTTTTTCAGTGATGCCATCTTTTTAAAGAGCCAAATAAAATTAAGAATTCAGTTTGCTAGAAAATGAAGGGATGACCTTCCTGCTTATTTGCATCAGCTGGAGTATTTGGAAAGAAATTCAAATGCTGATTGTGTTGTATACACAAACAGACCTCAGCTTTCCAATCAATCTGACATTAATTTTATGCCTGCTTTCTTCTTACAGATTAATATTGACTTCCATACCAAAACCCACATCTCTCAGAACATCTCTGAGCCCACCCTCAGCTGCTTTGATGATGCTCAGAGATTAATCTATAGTCTCATGGCAAAGGACTCTTTTCCCAGGTTTTTAAGGTCAGAAGAGTACAGGGAACTAGTAAAGAGGCAACAGAATGGAAATCAGAAGAGGTGGCTCCCATTTTTGTAAGAAAATAAATGCCAAAGACCTGAGGGATTACGAATTTGTAAATGTCTCCTATCACAACTCAGTACAGATAATATTTTATTAAAGTGATTGTACAAACCAGATCTAAGAATTACCTTTGACAGCTTGTTTTTAGGTACAATATGCTCATGATACTTTCTAATCAAGTTGGTGAGGAATATTCAAGAAACAGGATGGAATATGCTACGACATTTGAGCTACCTTTTCAGCAAAGAAGTTTGCCATTGATAATTTTTCCAGTGCTTGCTTTATTTGTCAAACTGTTATCACATTTTTAAGCAGAATGTTTTGGTTTTTTAGTTTGCCCTTGATTTTTCTTCAGAAGTATGGCCTCAAAAGATAAATTCCTTTCAGGGGACTTGAATACATTTACTCACTCATTCATCATCTTATTTGTAATTTGTAAAACAATTTGAAATGGTCTTTTAAACCTGTTTATACCAATTCAAAACAGGAGAAGTAGAAATATGGTAGATAACATACTATGATAATGTTTAATAAATAGGCAGCTGCTTTCTAACAAACGTTCCTGGCATTTAGAGCAAATTAATGTTTCATAATACAACTCTCTTCAATAGGACGCTCTTAAAATTTTTGTTGAAAAGTCTTGTTTATTAGTTGTGTAGGCATTTTGGAAAAAAAACCTGAGTAAATCTTCTTTTTTACATTTTCAATTTATAATTCATTTTCTTTGCCTTTCCAAATGTATCAGTGATACTGTCCTTATGCACTGATGAAGAGGCAATGTCAATAATTATTACAATTTTTCAATTAAATTCAGATAAGTAGAAGAGTAGGCATCAGAGAAACAGTTTTAGGCAAATAAGCATGTAAATCAGAATTTAGTCATGGTGTTATTTTTCAAATGAGCAAGATATGACAGGATTCTAGTGCAATCTTCAGGTGTCTCCAAATGCACACACTGATCTCATTCATTGCTGCATATATTTAGGTGAAGGAAGGAGCTGTGGCGTAATATTGAAGAAAAAATATTTTGAACCATATGGGGCAGGAAGAATCTTCACTATAGAAAATAATTCTAAATACAAGAGACAGCAATAAGATTTTTCTAAAAAAAGGAAAATCTTTCATTTGCTATGAATTTGATCCTTTTGGTTCTTTTGCTTTTGAGCTGCTTTAAATCTCCATGAATCTCTCCCTGTTTGGAACTCTGTTCATGCCTTCTACACACCATCACATCCTTTATGCAAAAGATGCTCTTTATTTTAGCAAACCACATTAATGAACTAATTCATTTAGACAATAAAGGATATCAAGTTGTCTGAAAGCCCCAATATGCTGCCTTCGGTTACGTACTTAGGTTAATGTCTTGCCACAGCTTAGGTAGGTAGGGAGGGAGGGTGTAAAATATCTATTATTTGATGCCCATCGTCTGTTCTATCACCTAGTTTTACTTCTTGCCATCTGCATTTTTTTCTTTTCTTTCGTCCCCAGTAGTAGTGGTTAGCAGAGAAGTGAACATGATCACTGAGGCTGAGCTACAAGGAGGATGTGGGTTTGTTTTGCAGTCCCACATACCACTCATTTTGCAATGATACTTGGGTGGAAAATTGCAACTTCCGCCTGCAGCTCAGCCTTGGTGTCCTTTCTGCACCAGGGCATTTCTGCTGGTTAAAGTCACAGTAAAGACAGCAATCAGGATTGCTGAAATTACATCATTTGCTCAAAAATGTAGCAAGTCATTTTCCCTTCTTACAAATCCAATTCTCATTTTCAGAAGAGAAAATTCCCACAGGTAGGAAGAAGCAGGATCACATCGCCTTTCTTAATAAGGCAAGGAGAAAGCCAAAAAAAAAAAAAAATCTGCTCTACCAATCTTAAGGGACCTAAGGGTAAAAAAGTACCTGGAAAATAAACACATGATCATAAAATCTCACAACTCTCTGTGCTCCTTTAAAACTTGCACACTTCTGACTTTACCCTTTCACAGTGGTAGAAAGATTGCTGCCAGGGATCTCTAGTTCCTGACTGTTTGAAAACACAGCATAAAAAGAAGTTAAAAGCGTATATAAAATAGTCAAACTTGATAAAAATAACGCATGATACTATTCTCATAAATATATAAAAACAATAGTAAGAAGCATCATGTCCATGTGGTGTCTGCCTGATTCTCTATGATCAGCAGCATAATTATTGTCAAAAGAGTAGGTCATTCTTAACACTTTAGCATTTGACATTAATTTTAATTATTACATAATAAAGCATCATGAATGATTTAAACACATTTTCATTAATTTAGAGTGTTTTAAGAGAAATGTACAGTAGGTGCACTTTTAGGGGTTATCACAGACTCAAGTGTAAAGTAACAGTACTAATCCTTTCATAACCCCCTAATTAAAACTGTGGTAGTTTTAATTAAATAACAAAGTTAATTAAACTTTTGTTGTTGATCAAGCCTTTCAACCTTTTTATTATATAATCTGCTTCAGATGCTTAAATATGAGATGAAACTTTACAAAGTTTAAATAAATGATCATTATAAATTCATATCTATCAAATTATAATTGGATGTACATTCACAATTTTTAAAACCCTCAGAGGACTATCTGGCTGTATCATATGCAATTAAACAAAAGAATCTACAGCATATTGAAGTGCTTTGGAGTTTAACAATCAAATTTCTGAAACCTTCTACAATATTATTAAAGTTTTGTTAAAGATCCATTTCAGAAAGTATCTGAAAACAACCAGTTGTGAAAGATGGGAGCCAGTAGTCTTTATTTCTAGGTCTAAACCTGATGCTTCATACTTCTACAACAGCAAAAAAGGTCACAGCCTAGCATCCAAGCTCTGTTTTGACACAAGAACAGGCCAGGCACTGAAGTGTGATTTAGAAGATTTAGACTGAACTTTGCCAAAATCCCAGAGCTTTAGCAAGGACTTCCAGCATGAGCTGTGCCCAATTGTATAACCTGTTGTGCAGCAGTTATACAGTTGAGAAGTTACCTCCATCTTCCATCAAAATGTAATATATTTCTGCCTTTTAATATTCGGGGAGCATGCAGACACTGCAGGAAGGCAGGATCTATGTTCAGGCTTCAGAGTGATCCTTCAGAGCAAAGACACTTAATATCAGAGTAATATCTTCATTGTCAAAGCCACTGATGTTTGAAAAACCTGGATATAAATTGTGTGGGGAGGGGTCACAACTATTCTTATAAGTTTGTACATCACCTATTCCTGTGGAACCTGAAGCGGTAACACCTTCCCAAAATTATTTACCCTAATAACAGCTCTGGGTTACGATGGGAAAAGAAGAGAAGACTACAGTGTTGTTAATGCTGAATATTACATATTCAATAATTATCTTACAGAAGTTATGGTGGAGCTTTTCAGGAGATTTTGTTGTGGGTTTTTTTGCTAGCCCATAATAAAAACAGGAAGAAAATACTCTTGTGGCTAAATACAAAGCACTCGTAAAAAGTTGCATTAGAAACCATATTTGCACTCCAAGCCTCCCACTTACTTTCACTGAAAAATAAAAGAGGGTTTTTTTCCCCTCTGTTCTAAGCCAGGCAAAAATCTCAATTAAAAAAAAAAAGTTTTTCAAAGGACTCAATCTCTTTCAACACAAAAAAGTAGATTTACAAAAAAATGCTACCAGACAGAAATGGTAGAAATAAATGCAAAGTGGACACCACATTTCTTAA